GTTAATAATTGTATTAAATATTGGAAATATTTTTCTTATTTAGTTATATTATATTACAGTTATATTACAGTTATATTACAGTTATATTATAATTAATTAAGAAAAATAATTAATTAAAAAAATAATGTTATTTCAATATTTATTCATTAAAAATGACTTAAAAATGACGATTAAATGACGATATATGACGATAATATTTCATGACAAATATTACATTTATTTTATGTCATTATTTAGTACACTGACGTTGAATGACAAGAAATGACCTTAAATTATCATCATAATGACGTCATCTTGCTACTTGGGAGTATATATATATATATATATAATTATACTATTTTTACAATTCAAGTTTTTAATGGGTCCTATTTTTATGGTAAATGTGAAAAATTAATATATTTTTATAAGTATATTTATTTATAATATTTGTATTTATATGAACAATCTCATATATAAAATATTAAGTTTTTCGTAAAATAAACGAATAAAGTATAATTATATTAAACTTAAAATTTCCCTTAAGGATTCTTTATCCTTTATATTTGATTGAAATTATGTGTTCGTAAATTATGTATATTCGTAGATATGTATATACGTATAAATCGTACAATATCAACTCGTAGTATCTCGGAAATGTCTCTCGTTTAGATGTTATTATTTATATTTATTTTAATGCATCATAATATATTAGGTATAAATTTTTATATAATTTAATGTATATCTTTCTTTTGAAAAAGAAATATAGTTTTGTATAATTCAATTTGAAGTTGTAAGCATTTTGATATAATCATTTCTAATTAGATATAACTAAACTTTTTCTTCGAAAAAAATTTCAATATAATTTTACATTATATTATATATACATAGAATTATTAATATTTTATAATTATATATAATCAGATATAAAATTTTTACTCGAAAAAAATTTCAATATAAGTTCATATAATTTGACATGGAGTTATAAATATTTTGATATAATTGTATATAATTAGATATAAATTTTTTACCCGAAAAAAGTTTTAATATAATTTTATATAATTTGATATGGAGTTATAAATATTTTGATATAATTTGATATAATTTGTAATATTAATAGATCTCATTATATATAATTATATCTAACTTGATATAATTAGATAAACTTTTTTCCCGAGTTATTTCAATCAAGGTCTAGTAGCGCTAAGTTTTTTTACATAAAAATTTTTTATTAAATTAAATTTTTATCATTTTGTACTATTATCTTTTTAATTTTTTGTAATTAAATTTTCCATTCGATTCAAATATACATGTATTTAAAAATTCTTTACAGAAGGATATGCCGAAATATTATGTATACATATATTGAGATAGAATGAAAGCTACTATCACTTATGTTAAATACATATCATTTGAGTTAAATTAAATTATACGCAATTTTATATCATAATTTTGAAAAAAAATTAAAGCTACTATCACTTGGGTTTTAGAATAAGAAGACTTCAATGAAAATATAAAGATACGAATCGTTGATTGATTTATATTTTTCAAAAGCAATTGTACATTTAATTTTCGAGGGACTATAACTTGGCACCACATTTTTTATATCAAATATATATTTGGTATATTTACTTGATATGCATTTGGTCCTTTGATCTTTTATATAAATGATATACATATTAGGGTTGAGTATTAGATACTATTTGAATTTAATAAGATTGTGATATAACACTTAGGTTTAAATAGAAAAACTCTTAAGTGCAAAAATATGTACTTAGATTTTATTAAATTCAAATAGTATCTAATACTCAACCCTAAT